AGAGAGAGAGAGAGAGAGAGAGAGAGAGAGAGAGAGAGAGATGGCCGGTGGGCGCCCACCTTCATGGCTGCTCGGCGCTCGCCCGTTTCCCGCCGCTTCCCGCCGCTTCCCGCCGCTCCGAGTTGGTGGTGTCCTGCTGCTGATGTCGGCGATGGTGTCCCGCCGTGTCCCTCCCTCCCCCCTTCGTCTGTCTCCTGCCCCGCGCAGCTTCTCGCCTTCGCCACCCTTCCCCGCGCTGCCTCCCGCCCTCGGTGGCCGCTCCAAGATCGGAATGTTGTACCCCTTGCCCAAAAATTTTTTTGGGGGAAGGGTCTGCCGATTTCGAAAATTCAAAATCGGCAGGCCCTTCCCCCAAAATTTTTTTTGGAGGCGTGGCGCGACCAGTTTCTGGAATCGCGCGGCCCGGTCTTCATTTCTGCTGGGGTGGGGGCCCGCCTTGCTAACGAAAACCGTTTTTTTTTTTTTTTTTGGCAGACCCCTATTTTTCGCGGTTCGGGGCGCCGCGGTGCGCCGTGCGGTGCGCGGCGCTACGTGCGCTGCTCGTGCGCAAACCGGCGCACCGTCGTGCGCCGCAACTATGGTTCAGACCCCATCACAAGTCAAAGAAACACCCACGAAACAAAGAAAGGTCTGTCATATATATATATATATTCGTTTGACATATATACAAACAGTTTGTCACAACCCCTCGTTTGTTGTCCTCGTTCTCCCTCTCTGCCTACGGTTTACCGGGCAGCTCTGTTTGACGAGACACATTCGTTCCTTGAATTTTTTCATTTGGCAAAGAATTTCGATCCGACCTTGAGGCAAAAGCTGTTCAGTTTACTTTTTTGCACAACATAGTTTTTTTCGGATCTTTTGGAGTTTTTTTTTCCGTTCTTTTGGAGTTTTTTTTTCCAGTTTTTTTTAAGTTTCTCTATTTATTATTTTTACAGGGACGTTCCCTGGGCCTTGCCTGGCCAGGCTGCCCAGGCAACCAAGCTGACCCTGGCGGCCGGGTTGGTATCACAGGCACACGGGCGTTGTATCAGTTTTTCTTGAGAGAAGGTTAACAACAGTCGTATTTTTCATCACCACTTCAAGACACCCTTCACCAAAGTGCGTTCCGTGCGATTCGGGCAGGCACAAATTGAGCACATAAAGCAGCGAACAGAAGGGATGTAGAAGTGGTCCTTGTGCTTTACTATGCTTGCTGCAGAAACTGTCAGAAACAACACCCACATTATGCTGAAAGAAAATTAAGATCGGGAGGTGTGTGCTTCGTGTGGTTTGGTGAACAAAGTTGGATGGAGCGGAAGGACAACAAGGAATGACAGATTCGACTGAATGCTTTCCTCTGCTGTGTGGCTTGGTAAATTGCAGTTAGTGGGAGCGAGGATGACACAATGAATGATGTAACTGATGATGACGACTTCTTCAAGGAAAACAAATCTGGTGGAGATGCTGATGCCGACGATGAGTGGGATGACAAGAGCCCAGCGTAAGTCTTTGCTTCCCTTCATTCATCAGAATATCAATGAGAG